GGCTCTGATTTCAGTAATGTAGTTTGTTGGATAGCTATAAAAATAGTCTGGTTTTATCCAATGATTTTTTTTATAAGCTTCAGTAGCAGCTGGACTGTTAAATAGTGAGAGTGCCAAAATTCAGGTGGCTGTTTTAACCATTTTGAGCATTAATACATTTCTTACCTGTGTCCCTACCTTTCCACCCAAAGATGTGAAAGTGAAACTAACTCTTGAAGTTTCAACTCTCCCTCATCCTCTATATTTTTGGCTGTCTTTCACAAGGAAATTATGACTTGGTGGAGATGGGGATATTAATAAAATCTTAAAAAGCTGTACCAACTTCTACAAGCTTGTGTGCCCAGGTGTGTGGAAGTTCAGGTCCTAAGCTGATGTGTATTTTTCAGACCCCTTTGTCAGTACATCTGCAGTTACTTTGTTCTGGCTGAGTGTCTGGCTCAGAACACTTTAAACCAGCTGTGACTCTTTATACTTCAGTTGTAGGTGTTAATGGATTATTTGAGACAATAGCCACAACAGAGAAATGGTTTGGCATTCGTTTAAAAATTTACTAATAATATTTCTAGTGGGACTACTTTTTGAATGTATAAAGGTAGATTCTTAGACAAGCACGTGCAGGACTGTTGGCTGGAATTTTGCATGTGCGGTGGTTATGAAAATGAATTATCCTGTTGAATAGTTGTCCTTTTAAAGCATGATTTAGATATTGGATTGAAATGTACATATGTTTTTCACTTTTAGAATCTATATTTAGGGTTTGGGAGATAATGATGTTAACAGTAACAATGGTAAACCTAAGTTGTTGCAGCCTTGATGCTATGGTAACTCCCCAATTTGTGTGTATATGATATCTTCTCCTGTGGAAATGACTAAAGAAGTGTAGATTCAAGAACTTTCTTGGAGGTGTGTTATCGATCTTCTGCATTCCTGGAGAGAACACTCATTGGTAGCCAAACTGAAATATTTATAAGGTCAGTGTTAATTTGGGGAGGGGGATCTGGAGAATCTGCTTTGGCAAATCTGCTCTTTTTGTGGCCTCCAGACTTTGGCACAGTGTTTCCCCCACCAACAAAAACCCTGGGGCAGAAACTGGTAGGAATATGATCACCTTTTACACACAAATACTTGATCTGTGAAGAGTCACGTGTGCTTGGCATGTTGAACACTGATGGGGTGATGAGAGAATATAGTAAGCAGTCAGATGAATTGAGATAGGTTAGTTGAAAGGAGGGTGTTTTAGTTTACTTCAGTTCTTGAAGTATGGAGCAATACATCTTTTAAAGATGTTGAACAAAGTTACTTGTAAATCCTGTGAACATACAGCTAACTTCAGGTATTCAAGTAGGATGTCCAGCTTCCTCCCCCTGAAATTCTTATTTTGGAAATATAGTGGTCCACATATGTTATTAAGTTTTGCCTTTGAAGTGGATGAGATGCATGCACTCACCTTATAAATTAATAAGGAATCTGCTCTGATTTAGTTTCTGTATTTTTTCTTTCATTAATGGTAATTGCTAGTTGCTAAATAGTTAGGTAACTCCTTTGCTATTTTTTGCTGTATTCATGCTTTAGCTGTGTGTGGTTTATCTGTTTACTCAACAGTACACTAAACTCTGTGGAAGAGTTGTGTTGCTGGGAGATTGTGAAAGAGGGGTTTAGGGTTTTTTTTTTTTGTTTGAGTTTTGTTTTTTTTTTTTACGAACAGGTTTTAGAAAAGCAGTAAGGTATGAAATTTTTGTTTGCAGTGATGTTCGTATATGCTGTGTAGGTCAGAATAATTTTCATGAAGAAGGTTTATTCCTCTTAAAGAGAAGTAAATAGCCATTATATAAAGTCAAGAATCCTTAAGCTTTTGCTGATGGGTTGGAACAGTAGAGTGCTTGGAGATCTCAAGCAAGGCTGAGCTCTGCTTTATAAGGCAGTTTCTAAACATGCAGTAATAGCTGATACGCCTCTCAAAAGGTTAGTGAGCACAATGGAGAAGATAAAAGCTGGGAGAAAAAGTATTTTCATTTTTATTCTCTCTTGTAAAATTATTTGTTCAAAGATACACAATAAAATGTGGAAAAGCTCGACAACTGTATTTTGCATTTTATTATGAAATACAGAACATTCTTCTGCGTTGTATCTCCTCAGCACATTTGTTTTTATTGAAGTTGTGTTTTATCACAGGTATACAAATTGTATGGAAGGTTTCTCAGTTCTGCTGACAGACTCATCCCTTATGGTGGCCACTCACCTCTTAAGAATGATGTCTAAACAGAATCTTCATTTTTAGCTCTCTAGCATCACTTGAGTGAAATACTAATGTGTGAAGATGGGTGCATGGGAAGCACAGTATTATGATATCAGATGAATTTAATCTCAGGACTTAGAGACCTTGTTAGTGCATCTTTAAATAAATAAATAAATTTCCTTTCCTGTGTGGCTCTTGACATCACTTTTTCTGACTGAGGACTGAAACTTCATTTTCTTTATCATCATATAAATAGAAAATCCAACTCTCTTGCTTTGCTTTCTGTTATAAACAGTCTACATTAAAAAGAAAGCCTCCGGTGCAGGCGGTTTCCTGCACCTGAATGCTTCCTGAATGCTGCTCTGCTTTGTGTTAAGAATCAAATGCACAAGAAAAAACTCCCTGTTGAACTATATATATGAATCAGTACCTTGCATGCTGTCTGCGTTGCACGCAACTGTTTTACAATCTTTAAGTAAAAAAGAATAATTAAAGTCTTTTTAAAAACATTGTCTTTCAGAGAAGGACTTTTATGAAAATGTTTCGTAAGAGGCTCTGTATTTTTCCAGAACGAGCAAAAAGCCAAAGGGAATCTGGCAGGCAAAGGAGAATACATGCCCATGTGCTTGAACAGACTACACACATTACTTGTGCTTCTTGTCCTGTGCTCTTTATTGACCCATGTCCAGGCAGTTAGTGCACTACAAATCTTTAAAATGGCTTTAGTTCTATAATCACTAATTGCAAAGGCCTTGTTCCAGGCCTCCATGCCCCAATATTTAATTTTCTGTTATTGCTTACGGGTGCACAGACATACTGTAGATTTTCAGAAATGGCCAGTTGCTTGGTGATAGAAAGAGAAGACTTTTTTTCGGACTCCCACTAATTTTTCAGTATTGCTTTTAAGTAACTTTTTAGTTTCTGGTGCATTTGCTGTGAATAGAAACACAGAGTATGACATCTGTAATAGTATAAGCAGTGGTGGTTTTAGTAAAGTCATCCCTCTTACTGTTGTTGGTGAGAATTCATGATGCTTAGCTATATGTACATGATTTATCTCTTTCTAGTCCTACCGTAGCTTTTGAATCCTAAACTCTTTGGAAAAATATTTTAAACAGGGTAATGTTACGGTGCTTATGTATACTTAAGCTTTAAGGCTGGAAAAACAAAGTTAGCGCTTTGATTATTTGGTGATGAAAATGTAATGGGTAGTCAGCAATACTGGAAGTGCCTCGTGACATGTTTTAGCCAAAGTACAGCCTGGAATTCATAGCAGACACTTTACGTTATGTTCCTCTTATTCTTTAGAAATGCTGTTTGTTAGTGCAAGGTGATCTGTATTGTGGTTTAATTAGCCATTAGAAGTCGTTAATGTGTTGTTTCATTAACCTTATTGATATCTATAATGCAGGTTTATATTATTGACAATGCAGCTGTTGTCTAGCTGTTAATGCAGCTTTATACTTGAAAAGCAAGTCTTATATTCATATATTTTGCTGCTTTTGAATACTGTGCACTTGTCTGGACAAGGGAAAGGCATTTTCAAATGTTGTGGGGTGCTGAGTTGAGCAAAGGTCAGACACAGTGCAGTCAATTATTCCTCCTAACCTGAAAATGCCACCTTCTTGGGGGGGCAATGGTAGTTAAAATCTGTATTTAGATTTGGCTCTCAATGACCATGAGCAAAGAAGGAGCTTCCCTCTACTCCCACTTGTAGAACAGAGTCTCCTCAGGGCCTATCATGATTACTTATTGCTACACTTTAGACGGAAAACTTGATAGAGCTTTTAATACTTAACCTGTCCAAGCATCATTGTACTCAGTGTATGTAATTTAAATACCTTAGTTGCGTTTTTCCTGCTTTTATCAATACATGCTATTTTTAGTGTGTGAGTGAACATGTAGCCTTTTTTGATTCACTTCATTCTTGTTTAAAAAAAAAAAAAAAATTTAAAAGCCCAAAACAACTGAACACCCCAAAACGAGCTCTTCAGGTACTGGACAACATGAAGTGTTCTCAATGAAAATACTGTATGTCAATGTTAACTTCAAAATTGGCTGTTTCTTCATTATTCTGTGACGCAAATTGCCAAATGCAGTTTTAAAGTTCTTGAGTACTGTGAGGATTCATTATTGTCAGATAATACTATGTATAAATACATGGGATTCTTTAGAAGGTCTTATGTCAAGTACAGATTGCCAAGTTGCTTTGATATTGAACAAAAAATGCACTGTAGCATCATAAATTTTGTTCTCCGCAGCATCCATTTTTTTTAAAATAATTTCTTTGGTTGCTGGCATCCACTACAACCTCTGCTTTGCAGTGAAGCTCAGCAGCATGCTTCCACATGGCAGTTTTCCAGATGGATATTGATTATTTTGAATTATGTTCCATGTGCTGTATGTTGGGTGATAGTAAGTGAAAAACATAGCCATGGGGAAGTGCTTGTGTATTGCAATTTTCTGTTCCCCAGCTTCCTGACACTTAGTTTCTTAATTTGGGACTATTCAAATATATTTGCTTGTTGGCACTGTTCTTGTAAACCTTACTTATTGTAATCCAGTTTTCTGTTTGGAAATATCATCAGTTCTCCAAAAAACTGAATTTGTGGAGGAAAGTAAAATAAAATTCTAAGTATGCTTATATTTGTATCTTTTTTTTTTTTTTTTTTAAAGCTAGTTATGTAAAACTGCTGAGCACCTCTGGAAAATAAGCCATTGGTTATAACAAGATTATCTTACTTCCTAAACAGGTGTCTGGAAAATGGAGAAGACTTTGAATAGAATTCATCCAGTTTCTGATCCAGAAGCAACGTATTTTCTACAAGTATCATGGGAAAAAGATTTGGGCACTGGCTTCGGTATAATACTTAGTGATGGCCAATGTGCATGGACCGGGACAGGTAATAATGGAAAGAAAAAAAAAAGTTTTAAATTATTACTGTTCTTTATTTTATTTTTAAACATTTTCTAAACTGTGACCCACAACTTGCATCAAAAAATTTTTATGAGCATTACCTCTCCCCAGTGATGGAGGAGGTGGGGTTCATGATCTCCTGGGACGCGTTTAGAGATCTTTCAAATCTGAAAAGATTGCGTGTCGAACCTAATACTAATTCATTTAGCATATGGATATGCAATATCTTGTTCTTTCTCAAGAATGTAATTTCTTATAGTGATACTGGAGTACCAGTTGTGTATCTTCTCCAGATCCTTGAACAAATGTGTCATGCAAGTTCCATTTGCATATTATAGTTCACGAAGCATTTGATTGCAGATGTTTTTTAAATGGTTTCTTAAAATCTTAATAATTAGAGGTAGCTATATTTGGTATTCAGGTGAATTTTTGAGAATGAGAAGGGACAAGAAAATACTTTTTTCCTGGGCATAAGTTATCAGAAGAAAAAAAAATAGCCTGTGCGATTTTTTTCCCCACTCGGAAACCTGAGTAAGAGGATAGGTCTTTTAATATGTGCATGCTTCTCTCATTGACCCCTAGCAAAAGAAGGAAAGATTTGTGTGTTCCTTTAGAGATGTGTCAAATACATCTCTCAGTGGCAAAAATATTTCAAAGGGAGGAAAGAGTAAAAAAAACATACTGTAGGCAAAAACATTTTCCTGACTCTTTTTCTGAATTACAAGAATAGATGTCCATGTTGTTCCTTTCTTTCTTCTTCCTGCCCAGTGGACATTGTTTCTCCCCAGTTCTTACATAAGCCAAGATTTCAAATAGGCCTGATATATATTGATATATATATATGTAAAAAAAAAAAATAGTGCTTTGTGTATATATGTACACATGCATACAAACTCTCTATATGTGTGTGTATATATAGGTCCTGTGTATAAAAAGAAGCTAAAGCGTTCATTAACCTTCTTTCGAATACAATTTTTACCTTTTTTTCTTTCAGACCTAGGAAGCAAGACTAACTTAAAATATGTCTACATACGTATTAAATCTGCTTTTCCATATTCCTTTTAACATTTCAAACACACTATTGCTTAGGAGTTCCTGCACAAGACAAACACATGTATTCCAATGCTTGTTCCCTGTGGTCTGGTATGAAAGCTTTTTCTTTCTTGATTTGACAATAGGATAGTCAAACTATATGTTTTCAAAATAACAAAAAAGATGTTAACATTGATAAATACTTAACTAATTGAGCATACTAGTTTTTCTGTTTAGAAGCTTTTGTGGTTGTTCTTCTGTAACCTTAAAATCCCCAGCTTAAAATTCACCAAAAGCTGTTTCCTTAAATCTGTTATTCTTCTAAGTAAAAGCCTTGTTACTATAACTGGAAGAGTATAGAAAAAATACGTAAACACAGTTCTCATTTTGTTAACTTTCTGCATCTGGCACAATGGCTGGAAGACCATTTCCCAAAACAGAGGACCAGTGAAAGCAAGATGACCTCACTCTATTAAAAGGAAAGAAAGAAACCCACAACAGTTTAGCATGAGCACTGGGTACTCATCCAAAGGAGAGCGCTTCTATTTCTTTGCAAGAATCTGATCCATTTCTAAGGAATTCATATTGAATTTGTAGTCCTTTGAATAGTTTCATTAGGAGTTGACGTTCTTGTGCATGAGGCTTTCCTACTGCACAGATCTGTGTTTTCATACACTCAGCATTGTTTTTGATCACTTTTTCTAAGTTATTACATCACGTTTGAGACTGCTTAGAGTCTAAATTCAAAACCTGGGAGGAGGGAAAGCAGTGGTCAGAAAATCCTTCCTATGGGAAATCCCTTTTGGGTTTCTCATGCTGTGGATTATTTTGCTTGGCAAGACCTTCCAGGAAATGAATGAGAGTTGCTGATGGAGTTGTCTTTTACGGTCTTTGTATATTTAATGTGATGATGAAAAGTGTTAGGAGTCCTATTTAAGGAGGAAAAAAAAAAAGTAAATCTTGGAGGGGAGGAGTAGCACACAAATATACAACATGATCTAATGTATTCACTTGGTGTTGTGTTAAAGAACTACAGATATATGGATTTATACATTTCATGTTTCTCTAACGATTGATCAGTTCTGCTAGTTTTGTAAGATAAAGGAACATGCAGCATGTACAGGCACCACAGGAGAAAAAACCCACAGTGCTCTATTATAGTACATTAGTATCCTTGGTTTTTTAGCTTTCTTATTTTCATTAAGAGTTTATTTAATTTTTCTCAGTGTTCAAATCGTTGTTCTATTCAGACACTTATTTTTGTAAGTATTTCCAACTTATTTTTTTCTGCTCCTCTTTGCCTCATACTACAAGGGATTCCACATTTCTGTCTATACTATTTTGGAGGATTTAAGGGGATTGCTGACTTACTAGTGGCCTTTTCTTTCACAACTTTGTCTGGTGTCCTGTACAAGAAATAAACTAGCTAATGAGGAAATGATTGGTGGCTGTAGCTTATAATAAAGTAGAAATGTTTTGATGGCAATTTCTTGCCTTTCTTTCCCATTCAACTCTTGTTATTTGCAGTGGATTGTTAGCTCTGCAAAGATGAGTGTTGACCAGCCCTGTAGCCCCAATTCTTTACTGGCTTGTAGGCTTAGTTTTTTTCCAGACAGTAGTTCCATTGTATCATTCTTTATATAAGCATTAAAAGCGCTGCTTTCAGTTTTTTAAAAAAAAGATACAGCTGGCAGTTGTTAAAGTCTTAAGCCTTTCTGATGACATCTGTTTCATGCTTAAAATAAGTCCTAAAAATCTTCGAAAATACTTTTACTACTTTATCTAAGATACTTAGATATGTTCAGTTGTGTTGGCGCTGAGGGTTGAACACTTGACTTAGGTTAGAATGAGGTAGGGAAGAACTGATAGCATGTGCAATGGCTAGTGTAAGTTTAAAGCCTCCAGCTTTGCAGCAGTTTGTAACGGTACCAAGTCCTGTTCTGAAACTCGTACCTGTCAGTCTTAATGCGTGAGGATTAATGCACAACTGACTTTGACTTAGCAGTTGCTTGCTTGTAGGTCTTTTCATGTTTGCAGTGCGGCATGCTGGCTTTGCTCTTGTTCATGTCCCTGTATGCCAGATGCAGATGTGGTGCATAGGGAAGGAGGCAATGGTGCAGCTTTGCAGCTAAATAGTATGGCTTTGCATTCGAAGTCCTGTTTGTAGGGCCAGTACTAGCTGGCTATATACGTGGCCCTCTGTCTTAGCCTCTTTCTCTTCATGTATTAGGAAAGGGTGTTACATATTAGAAAAAAGATGGTTGTGATGTCCATGCAGTGAAATAACGTTTCTGTTACACCTTTATCCATTTCTCTCTCTCCTGTATTCTTTTTCATAAAGATTTTTTAAACTCCAACTTAGTGAAGAGGGCTGCTGCTTACTTTTGCTCTGTTTAAATTTGTCTTGTTGGGTTGTAGGAATAAATTTGAAAAGTGTAACATGTTCTTCAAATGATGATACTTGTTGAAAAGGACCTGGGAGTCCTGGTAGACAAGAAGTTGAACATGGGCCAGCAATGTGGCCTTGTGACAAAGAATACCAACAGCCTCCTGGGCTGCATTAGGAAGAATGTTGCCAGCAGGTCAAGGGAGGTGATCCTTCCCCTCTGCTCAGCCCTGGTGAGACCCATCATGCGGTGTCCAGTTCTGGGCTCTCCAGCATGAACTTATGGAATTGAGTCCAGCAACAGTCCATGAAAACGACTGAAGGACTTGAGCATCTGTCATGCTAGAACTTGAGAAAGCTGGGACTGTGCACCCTGGAAGAGAGAAGGCTCAAGGAGATTTTGTCAATGTGTATTAATTAATACCTGATGACAGGGAGTAAAGAAGATCTAGCCAGGCTCTTCTCAGTGATGCCCAGTGAAAGGACAAGAGGCAATGGGCACAAACTGAAATACAAGGAATTCTGTTTAAACACAGGAAAAAACTTTTTTACCATAGGGGTGACCAAGCACCAGAACAGATTGCCTGGAGAGGACGGGGAGCTTCAGTCCTTGGAGATATTCAAAACCCATTGAAAACATGGTCCTGAGCAACCTTTATAGTTGACCCTTCTTTGATCATTTGAGTTGGACTAGACAATCTCCAAAGGTCCCTTCCAACCTCAACCACTCTGAGTCTGTGAAAATAAGCTAAAATTATTGAAGATGCAGAACTAATCCAGAAATCCTGAAGTGTCTGAAGATGTAACTATTCATAGCAAATAATTATACATTTACCTCTTTGCTGTATTTTTATATGATAGATTGATTTGATACGTACTGCTTCCTTTGCAATATGAGGTTAGCTACCGTGTCAGCAAGAAGACTGGAAAAAAATGAGGCAATTTGAACAGGCTCACGTTTGATTGAAATGCTCTTCTATTTCTATCAGTATGATTTCAGTACATGTGCGGGCTTATGTCTCAATATGAAGCTATCTTCAAAGGCATTTGTATAGAGAAGAAATATATTTATTAATAAGGGTTTTAAGCGGGATACTTTTTTAAGTCACTTGCAGTTCTGTGAAGGATGTGTTTTGGGGTTTGGTGGTTTTTTGGGTGGGTTTGGGTTGGGTTTTGGTGTGTGTGTTTTTGTTTGCTTTTTTGTTTTGGTTTTGTTTTCTGGTTTCTTTTTTCAGGCTGTCACAAACTAATGTCCTTTTGCTAATCTTGCGCTCTCAAATGCTGGGCAAGAAGAAAGGTCTAAGAGGAAGCAGGGGTAAATGACAATCTAGAGCAGTCTTCATCAGAAGATTGTTCAGAAGAAAGGGAAACACTTCTGTTAATCAATCTAAAATACTGTATTGGTAGGCTACACATTAAAGCCTGCATTACATTATACACGTCCTATCTTAACTTTAATTTGGAGTCTTTGCTTATATTTGTCTGTGCAAGAAACTCTGCACTCCTCATTGAGATCATTATTCTGATTAACATTTGATCTCTAAAAGTACCGAGGAAACAGTATGTAGAATAAAATAAAAAAGAAGGAAAATAACCAGGGGCCCAGGTGGTAAAATCAAGAATGTTTCTTGCTACTCCTCGTGAAATGTGATGAGTCTTGGTAAACTGCCATTTGAGTTTGAGGGTTAACCAAAAGAAGATTTAGGAAGAAATAAATGATCAGAAGCAGACACGAAAGGCTATCATTGTTCTTAATGACAGTACATCTTTATTGGCCTGTTTTGTACTGTATTCAACCATTCTTCATCTTCAAAGGAGTGGAATAAAATTTTCTGTATGGACCTGATGTAATGCAAACTGGAGACACATCTCCCATTTAGTGGTCCTTGAACGTGAATGGTGAAACATGGATTCTCAAGTCTCTAGTGTAGCTTCATTTGTAAATTGACAGTTTATTTTGTTGTAAGTTAGAAACTTGGAAAACTGGATCAAGGATGTGTGAGGAGACAGCTGCATCTGTTGTCTTATAGCGTTTAGATTACAAGCTTTCAAGGAGAACTGAGAGGGCACAGTAAATCATAATTAAAACATTCCACTCTGTTTTAGGTTAGTGTTATTAAGAATAACTTTAGGCAAGTAGAATTGTGGACTAGTAGTAATAAACCATTTTCAGACAGGAAAAAAAGGGACAGAACTTAATTCTTATGAAAAACACAGTATTCCTGCTACATTTCCATTAGTGTCTGGCACATGGATATATGTCAAGGAAAGAATAGTCTCGTAATATTTGCCTGTCCCTTAAGGTGTGTGACTATGTGTCTGTATGTACATTAAATATATATACATGTTTACACACATATGAGTATTTATTTCTCACGTGTTTTTTTTCTGATAGTGTCTGAAGCTGAAATTTCTAGGGAGGCTGCTGACATGGAAATGAAGCGAGAAAAGTATGTCGAAGAACTGAAGAAAGCATTGATAGCTGGAGAAGAATCAGCTGGCAAATACAACTTTGTTATTTCAAGAGATGAAGAAAATATGGAGTGTCACTTCTCCTATGAAAGAAATCTGAAAGATGGCTCTGTAAGTATAGTTAAATGTTTAAATTTGGCTGTTAAACTATGAGAGTAACCTTCTTGGTATGTTTCTGTATTTTATTAGGTTCTTTAAAATCAGATAGACCTGTGATACATGTTTCAGATTGAATGAATATTGTGAACTCTGCCATGGGCCAAACTAGAAACAAGTTTGTGATTTCCTATCAAAACCTGGTATCAATAGAACTATTTCTATGTTACTTTCTTAAATACTACTGAATAAGTGTATTTATTCTCTATTTAAGTTTTGGATTAGTGTAGTGATAGGACGAGGGGTAATGGTTTTAAACAGAAAGAGGGTAGATTTGAATTAGATATTAGGTAGAAATTCTTTACTGTGAGAGTGGTGAGGCACTGGCACAGGTCACCCGGAGAAGTTATGGATGCCTGCTCGCCGGAAGTGTTCAAGGCCAGGTTGGACGGAGCTTTGAGCAACCTGATCTAGTGGAAGGTGTTCCTGCCCATGGCAGGGGGGGTGGAGCTAGATGATCTTTAAGATCCCTTCCAACCCAAGCCATTCTATGTTTCTATGATGTATGTTTTGGTTTTTTTTTTTTAAGCAGGGTATGCCTACATGTTGGAGCGGCAGTTTAGTATTAAGCTGATACGTTCCATAAGCTGTAGCTTTGTTTTTAGTTCCTAACTTGGGAAGCGTCTTCTGTTTTGAAATTCCAGCCCCGAAACCATTTTTGCTTTGCTTGTTCCTTCTTTCTTCTCTCTCTATACTCACCTAAATAAGGAAAAATATTAAAATGTAAGTAAGATTATTTCCAAATGCTAAAAGATACTTTTAAAATGAGCTTTTCTATTACTTTAAATATTTTGGAAGCTAACACTAAAATTGTTTCCTGCTTGGAAAGGCATTAAATTACAGCTGGGAATGTGGTTCCGTGTTGGTTTCTTGGCTGCAAAGGAAAGGACCCTCTTAAAGCAAAAAAGAAACCAGTTAATCTGTATCTGTAGACACGTTTGGTTATTTCAGGTTGTGGTTTGGTGTTAAAGCTTTTCTGGGGAAGAAGCTAATTTAAGGTAATTCTCCTTGCTTGTACTCTCATTTCCCCTCCCCTCACCCCCCTCCAAAAATTAATGCTCTGCCTTTCCCAAGGTTTGTCACAACTTCATTTGTGCTAGGATAGCAGTTGGGCTGACTGACCACTCAGCCATATTAGTGAAATAATTTGGGTTTAAAAAGCACTGATTTAAAATTGCACTGATCCAGTTCAGGGCACAGTTCTGCAATCAGTTTCACTGGCATTATTGAGGGGAAGAAAATTGTGGGGAGAGAATGGAGATGAGATTGCAGATAGAGAAAAGTAGGAATGTCTTTGGCCAGATCTTTTTCTTTCCTGGGGAGAAAGTGTAGCATAGAGTTGAGTCTGGGAGCACAGTGTCTAGGGATTGTCCTACCTGCTTTGTTTTAAAAGATTTCTTCAGACCATTGTGACATGCTTTGCTTCTCATTTGGTTAATTTTGGCAGGTATCACCTTTTAAGAAACTAGCAGAGGTGTCTGACTTGTAAAAAAAAAACCAAATCAAAACAAAGAAGCTACTTCTTCTGGGATGTGTCTGTTGGAAGTGGAAGGTGGAAATACTTTTTTCCTCTAAATTGGAAATAGGCAAAGAATGCAGTATACGTATTGGTCACAAACCTGAAATGGGAGTGTATATTTCATCTATGAATATCTCTTAGATGAGATGAGGAAAAACTCACTTTAAAGAGGGGGGTCATTCAGGTTACCTAATCAGTAGCAGCTCACTTACGTGCTTATTGTCAGTGTCTTGGCTTCATTTTAGTAAGCAGAGAAAGAGGTTCAGTGGAATGAAGTTTGGCTGTTTAAGAGTACTTCATTATAGGCCTTTTTTCTTGTGCAATATAGGAAATTTCAGCACAATTTGGCTCTTGACTGAGGTGCCAAAAGTTAGATGATTTAAGTCTTCCGCTCTGCATTATCAATATTTCTGTGTATTTACCCAAGGCCTTATGGGCTCTATACCCCCTTCTTGATACTTCTTGTGAGCACCCAGGGCTGAGTGCTGTTCACAAAGGGTCTAGGTCAAAAGTACTGTATTACAGCAGGATTACAAGGTTAGAACCAAATTGTACTTAGAAAATAAGAGCAGTAATTTTAAGAATCTTGTTTTTCTTGTCTGTGTCACACATAATATATTCTAAATACCAGACAGATGAAATACATACTATATTTTTATTAAGGGAAAATATCTTCATATATGTGGGCCCACCCAATATATGTTTCCAGCAATTAAGGCTTACGAGAAATTTAATTCATATGAAAACATCTTTATGTCAATTTTGGAAAATAATAATCTGGCCAAAGAAATTGAAAATACGAAGTGTCCTGATTGTTATGCATGCTTTTAGCTTTGGGTGTCAAAAGAGTGTTTTTAGAAAAGATGTCATTTCTTGGGTGAAAATACACCTTTTTTCCTCCTGTACTAAACTAATGCCTACAAATAAAATTGTCAAAGCCTTTGTCAGAATTACAAATAGCTTTCAGGTGTGTAATAGAATATGTTTCAAACATTTTGTAAATTCTCTGTGAAAGTATTCATGATGTATATCTTTCAGCATCAGATTAGGAAATTAATCTTCCTGGGCTCTGTACATCCAGAGGGCTGAGATTCAGCTGAATGTATATTTACCTGCAACTTAAACATGACTTAAATTCAGTGTTTATCTCTTATCAGTACTTATTTTTCGTACTGGGTATTTGTCTTTATGTCTTTTGTTTAGTCGTTATAAATATTTTCTCTTTCTCTTTTCATATTTCAGCATCTGTATATATGCACAAATTACAACCTTCCCAGTCTTGGGA